TGCTTGTTGCTGCTGGGTTCAAGCCTAAGAGCCATCTTTGAGTTAATGGGGAGATATAGTTTACATATAGGGCTAGTTCGACTGGAATAAGAATGCACGAACATTGCTCCGGTTTTACTTGGCTTTACGTTGGACTTGGACTTGATAGTCTTAAATGGAAGAGAAGTGACAATAATCAAGTGAATGAATGACTGGTATAAATCGTTATTCAACTCGTAAAAACCGAACGCCAAAAAGATGATTCCTCAACAAACATGAACATGGACATGGACATAAACCGTCAATCCCGACATGACATGCAAATCCCATATGTAGGACCATTTATCAATTCATCCACCTCAAGCCCCATAAGCCCAAGAATGATACCTCGTAGAGCAGAGGGAGAGCTCCGATCTCCCTCGACTCGCCTGCGAGCGCAAGCAACAATGCAAAGGAAATATAAAAGAAAATCACTTTTTAGTAGTCGTCATCCGCAGGGTTGTTGCGCTTGCCCTTGGCCAGGCGCTTGTTTGCCTTGAAGTGCTTCTTCGTGCCGGTGTTGCCTTTCACTTCGGAGACATCCACGCCACGCTCAAGGGCAACCATCATGCGCTCCTTGCGGCCTGTTGGTACCTTGCGCATCTCCTGACCCTGTTGGGTGTACCGAGCCTGGAAGGGGAGGGTCAGACGGCCGGCAGAGGGGCCGGTTTCTGAGCCGAAAAAGCCTGTATCAAGGTTGCGGGAGGTGCGACCGAGCTCCGGCTCGACGGAAATCTTGGCTACTTCAATGGGGATATCCGAGTCGACGTCGCCGGTGGGCTCCGCGGTGACCTCTTCTACGGCGGTATGCTTTCCAATCTTGGCTTGTGTGAGCTGAGCTCGGCGTCTCTCAGGGAGATGGGCGACGTCGTATAGCTCGCTGTTGAAGTCGGCGCTGTCAATTGGAGTTTCGTCCTCGCCAACTGGGGGAGGGTTGACCCAGAGAAGCTTGCCGTTGACATAGTCCTTCAGGACGTATCGTGCAGCGCGGGACTCGTCGGGCTGACCAATACCCTGGGTGGAGAAACCGCGGGCGCGAGCATAGGCACGCAGAATCTCGCTGGCAGTGGGGACGCCAGTGCCGCCTTCTTCGATGGGACGCATTCTGAGCTTCACACCGTAAACCTGCTCAATGAAATGCTTGGGGATACGCTTGGCGACAATACCGGCGGGACCGGTGAACTCGCGCTGCTGATCGATGGGCAGAACACCATTAACGACCAACTCGGCCTTAGTGGTGGCGAAGTTGGGGAACACGAGACCGGGACAATCGCACAGCATAATCTCTGGCGAGAGGTAGAGAGTCTGGAAATGCTTGGTCTTACCGGGTGTGGCAGAGACAGAGACCTTCTTCGCACCGAGAAGGGCGTTGATGGTGCTGGACTTACCCACGTTAGGGTAACCAACCAGACCGATTGTAGTCTTACGCTTGGGCTCGCTAGACTCGTCATCTTGTGGTAGTGATTCTGGGGAGTTGGCCAGGAAAAGCTCTTCCAGTTCGTCAGTGTCCAGAATGTGTGGCCCAAGCGAGCGCTCAGGATCGGCAAGCTTAGCCCTTTCTTCCTCCACTGTATCCTCCTTCTGGTATCCATCATCTTCATTGGAGTGTATGTTGATATGTTGCGCCGACTGGGCGAGTTCATCATCGGAATCAAGTTCTTTCTCTTGCAAAGCGAGGGCCTCGTTCTTCTCTTTGGCGAGGTGAGCAGAGAAGAAACGGAAGTTAATCTTGTGCTTCTCAAAGTACGCAGCCCAAGCTTCTCTTTGCTTCAAACTCAACATATCCGCCTTGTTGACCAACAGCAAGTTCTGCTTTCGGGGATCGATTTCCTTGACATAACTCTCCAGATCCTCTGAACGGAACTGCAACGGGTTTCGCGCATCGACAATCTGCACAATAAGATCGGACCGCTCAATAACACGCCACAACTGGCGCCAGACCTCCAAATTGCGCTCGAATGGAGTCATCAGCAGATCGTGGTTCTCAATCAGCTCAGCCAGTCCTCGTCGCCAGTCCAACAGACTTTGTTTCTCCATCGTTTCTAGTTCATTTCGAGTCGTGGACTGGTCCCACTTGGGTCGTCGGGGAACAGTCAGGCGGTCCTTATTCTTCTGGTGCTTAAGGAAAGCTTTCCTCTCTTCTGTGGGGGTGAGAAGGAAGGGGTTCTTCTGATCGGAGTGGATGATCTTGACGTTGTTGATTTTTTCAGCGGTAAAGTCGGTTCCAGCTAGTTCGGCGGTACTCAGGAATTCGTCGAGCGCTGCTTGCTCAGTGATACTGCGCATCTTGACCCATGAGGCCTCCTTCGCCTCGTTGGTGACGTAGGTTTCACCATTGACACCTGTGCGCTGGATGGCATTGTTGTGAGAGACCTTCTTCTGAGCCGATGCTTTGCCCTTTCCGAACCGATCGTTCATGAGACTGGAACCCAGTCCCACGGATTTCTTAGATTTAGGTAAAACCATGATGGCGATGGCTTTCGATTCCCTAAAATCGAGAAAAGTTGTAGGAAGTAAAAAATCAAGTCGAGACACAACCCCCACCTGAAAAGGGAATTTTGGATTATTCAGACGGATAAGATAACGCTGACTAAGCCCCTCTATGGCGGGATGGCCATACAGGTAAGGAAGTATATGGCCGTGTTTTGTACTTTTTGCAAGTTGTTATGGTTAGTTTAGTAGTATATGGTAAATATAGGAGCATACAATAGTTGAAGCCATATCTGAGGACCAATATAGTCTATAACTAGGGCTTCTGGTTCAATATGCATACTATTGATGCGGGCCTTGAAGCGCCGAGCCCAATGAATACCCAAGCCTCCAAGCGAAGTTGCACAATGAGTGAAATCAAAATTAAACGAATAGAGTGGAACTGGAAAAGAAACCCCCCTAAACATCGTATACTACTCCGACAGTTCAGATTCTGAGGACCCCGGAGAACGAGGGGCGATAAGCTACACGTGACCCTATCAATCCCACTTTTTCCCTTTTTTCTGCGATATCAAAAATTTGACCAAAGCAAAGATGCCGCCCAAACAGTGGATGTACGTATCGCATAAGAATAATTATGGCCTCAAAGCTGACATGTACCTAGTGATAAGAAGAACGCGAGCAAGTTCCAGCTCTTTCACCGGTCTCAAAATGACCCGTTGATCCACGATACCAGTGCGGAGGACCGTTTCCTGTACCAGGTCGGAGGCCCCGCGCCTGCGCCCGCATCGAACACCTCGAAGAAGACATTGCCAAATTTGTCTGACCTCCAGTCCGAATACGGCGATAGTGCCCGCAAAAATGAGGGCGAGGCTGCCAACTACGGCGTCTATTACGATGACTCCAGCTACGATTACATGCAGCATCTCCGCGATCTGGGGAGCGGCAGCGGAGATGCATACTTTGTCGAAGCCAAGAATGAGAAGGCTAAGGGCAGGGCTGGTCGAGGGATGAAGCTGGAAGATGCGCTGCGGCAGGTCTCGCTCGTGGATAAAGATACCTATGGTTCGGGCGCCTCCGTTGGTCCCAGTCTTTATGGTTCACAATATGGCGATATGCGCTCGACCACTTCATCCTTTATCCGCAAGCCAACCTACCAGGATCAGCAGAACGTCCCAGATGCAATTGCTGGATTCAAGCCTGACATGGACCCGCGGCTGCGAGAGGCGCTGGAGGCTCTGGAGGACGAAGCCTTCGTCGAGGATGGCGACGCTGACGGAATCTTTGGCGAATTAACAGCTAATGCGGAGGAAATGGACGAGGGCGACTGGGAGGATTCCCTGTTCGATGACGAAGTCGATGATGAGGGATGGGAGTCGGATGCTACGGAGAAAGCGCCCGTGCAACCGGACAGCACTGAGGCTCATCGCTCAACGGAGGATGAACTGCCAGAAGAATCTGTAAAGCCACCAATGGATGCAGGCGAGATGCCTGAGCCTGATAAGCCGGCTCCCGATATGCAGCCCACTGACCAGAGTTGGATGAATGAGTTCGCCAAGTTCAAAAAAGATGCCAAGGCTGGCAATGCTCCCGCACCAGCTGCACCTACAATCGCAGCATCGCAGACGATGGCGTCGACCACCTTCACTGCCGGCGGAACGCCAATTCGCCGGAAGAAGCGCAAGGGTGCTCTGACCAACCCGTCTGCGTACTCGATGACGTCGTCCGCTCTGGCTCGTACTGCCGGCCACCGTCTCCTCGACGACCGATTTGACAAGGTTGAGCAGCTCTACGCTCTCGACGAGGAGGACGAATTTGATGACAGCATGTCCATGATCAGCGGGATGACAGGTGCAACCGGCATGACGGGCATGACGGGCATGTCCACCGCATCATCCATAGCCCCTAGTCTGATCGATGGTAACGGCGAAGCCGTGCACAGCAGCAGCACCTTCAACAACGTCATGGACGACTTCCTCTCCAGCTGGGACCCCAATACCAGTGGACAGGCGAAGCGACACGGCGCCAAGCACAAGCGTGGCAGGAACGGTAATGAGGCCATTGGTATCAGAATGCTCGACGAAGTGCGATCCGGTCTCGGCCCAGCTCGACTCCAAGGCGTGAAAGGCAAGGTCTCCGGAAAAGCTTAGATGAAGATTTACACTGCATATGAGACGACGGGAACTCCCAGTCATGACATGGCGTTTGGTTTTTATTATTTATTTTATTACGGCATTCCTGTGCGTTAGGGTTGATATCTCTTGATGGCTAGAGCAAAAGTTATGTTTATGTCTCGATGCTCTATATGTCTCCATGGACGAGTACCTTTTCTACAATAGCCCACGAATCCACTCGTAATGCACTGATATCGTAGAAACAAGACTGCTGCTTTTCATCATAAAGAACAGCCAGGATCCCTTCCTGCCGCGCAGCCTGAACATCGCGAATCGCATTATCACCGAAGTATACAATATCTTCAGCGGCGATACCATATTTCTCCAGCACGGGACCAAACAGCCCATCGATCTTAGACTTTCCGACCTCGTTCGTCGTCACAAGCACATCAATGAAGACCGTATCCCGAGTTCCTGGACTGTCCACTCCTGCGCATCCGCCGGACCCTCAGTAATGACAATGATTTTCTTTCCCAGTCCTCGCAAAGTTTGCAAAAGATGCAATGCACCCAGCTTGAGAGTCAAGTTCTCGCGTAGAGAGTCTCGATATACCTCTAACAGACGACTCAGCAGGGAGTCATCAATGAGCCCGTGCGCCTGGAGAAGACGCCCGAACCGTTCGCGCCGATACTCGCTTGAAGTCCTCCCATCTGTGAAGGCGTTTGCGGTTGTACTGCGCAGGATATCTTGGTATGTATTCTTGAGAGTATCAACGCTGGTCTTGTTGTTTGAGGCGTGAATCGTTTCGAAGACGCGGACCGAGGCATTGGCAGAGGCCCGTCGGAATTCGTGGAGCGTGTCATCTAGATCGAAGCCGAACCAGAATTTTGAGAGGATAATTCCTTGGATAGACATGGGGTATTTCAGGTTGGTTATTCTGGGTCCTTCTGCGTGATTTTGGTGTAATTGAATAGAAATGGTGGATCCATAGTGGGTGACTCAGATGGTGTGATAGCCTCAACCAAGTATATTACAGACTCGCTATTATTTTCAAAGGATATTTATACAAAGGACCAAGAAGAGAATTAGAAGGCACCGCCAACCTTCTCTACAATCCACATGGAAAGTCTCACATTCCATCCGACTCGCCTTTCCGTTCGCATCAAGTCGTCTCTCGAGACAGGGGAGGCATCTTTCTGGAGCCGTTCAGTCTCTTCGCCCAGTTTCTGCATAAGGCCTGGATCGTTCGTCAAGACCACCGCACCAGACTCAAGGTCTAGGCTGTAGCTGCGCTTTGTGTAGTTGCTGCTACCGACGAAGGTGAGGCTGGGGTGTTCCTCACGCGGCAGTGTAATCCACAGACCTTTGGCATGGTAGGTCCATCCGCCTGGCGTGCCAACAGTGCCCTTGCGCCACTCCTTCAGTTGAATAGAGTCGGTCGCACCTGCCTTGGCGACGCGATCAAGGAAGCGGGCAGAGAGATGTGTGTATGCGGCTGGTAGCATTCCCGAAATTCCAGAGGAGCCAAAGAATCCATTTGCCCACGGTGAGGCCGTCAAAACGGTACCTTTTGTGGTGGTAGGGGTCTTCGAGGCGGTGGTGGTACTGGAAATTAGGAGGGAGGAAAGGACGGGGTGCATGTTGAAATAGCCTGCTGTGAAGAGCCAGCGGGCCCCGGCATAGACTGATGAGCTTGACAGGAGATGGAGAATGGTCGTCACGGCAGGGTATTCGGTAGATGTGTCATCAGGTTGCAGGAGAGAAGTAAACTGCGATACAGGGTATACATATGTTTGACTTGACGAGGAGGGAAGCGCAGGTTTGTTGCCAGAAGCCTGAATGAGCGGGCTTAGGAACGTCGAAGAATACGCGATAAACTGCTGAGGATCATCAAGAGGAGAAGGGGGTTTGTTTGTGGCAGGCCAGTCCAAAATATAGCCGGATTTGTCTTGAGGGTCCGGCAGCACCTGGAAGCTCAGACTGCAGATTGCATGGTGGATGCGAGCGTAATATTCAGTCAGCACCTTGGAGTCGAACACATGGTATCGATCTAGGCGGTGGGTGAAGTATTCGTCGGATAGGTTTGCTCTGCAAATTTATTAATATCCGGTGTTTGTACCAGTTCGCAGATAACATACCCCGATAGAATGATCTCGTCGTCTATCCCGTATAGCTTCATGTGCTGCAAGCCCCAGCCTTCGTTGATGCGGCGAGGGATCCATTTTTTTCTTAGACCTGTCAAATTGGGAGTATGGAACATCCGAATCTCGACTCGTTCAGGTCCGAACTCTTCAACCAACGAACAAAGGAGTGATGCGCATGAAGGATTCGGTGTCTCCCGCGTGCCGCGCAGAGCGTCGGTGAGAATAGAAACTTTGAGATCTGGATTACGGCGGAGAGCCTGGCTCAAGGTGTCAATAAGATCGTGTTCTGTCTTGCCGATGTACAAGGTCGAGAGGTAAATGCGCCGCCGGGCATTGCGAATTTTATTCTGCGGAACAGCCAGTTAGTTCCAAATTATATCGAGGAGACAAACAGAACAGAAGATACCTTCAATGTAGAGTAGAAATGGGCCGGGGAGTCAATAATATGAATCTGAGACGCAGGCACCTCGAATCGGGGAGCAATGCGGTCTAGCTCCGCGGTGATTCCTGCTAGAGGTGAAGGAGCAGATGCTGCAGTCGGGGCTCCTGTACCGGCATGTGCAGAAAATTGACGAGCACACAGTCTCCGACGTGCGGCTGGGCGACGCCCAGCACAACAAAACGTCTGCCCTCTAATGCGACCGAACATGTCTGAATATCCAAGATCGAGGGTTTTCCGAATCGGGATATCCATGGTAGAGCAGGGTGCAAACAGTGCAAACACACCGCCCTCCTGCAACCTCAAATCGTCAATCTCTCGCATCCCATTCGCTCTAGCACAATACATAGCAAAGATGTCGACTATTGTGAGGACGCTGCGCAATCTCCGCCGAGTCGGCTTCAAGGTTCGTATAATTGCGATCCATACCCTATAGAAACCCGTTTGCTAACACACTTGTGAAGGATGCCGCCCACCAGATGCAGGTAGGTTACGAACGCCTCCCCCGGAACAGCAGATCAATTGAATGAGCTCGAGACTAACCTATGTCATTGTTCGCTGTGGTATAGAACATTGGTATGTTTCCACCCTATCGATGTCTGCCCAGCAGTTGACTAACATTACACGTTCTACAGGTGATACCAAGGCCGGAACTCTGATCGGAGTCGACCGCTACGGAAACAAATACTTCGAGAACCTGGAGGAATTGCCTCGTAAGAAGACTCTTCAGCTCATACTATCACATTCAAACATGAAGCTCTAATGATACTTCTCCGCTTAGTCCGAACACGGTGGATTGACTACAAGGACGCCGAATTCGACGCATCTCAGATCCAGCCTGGCTGGTAAGCGCTTCTCGAGAGACACTGGGTCAATGATGTACCTCCGATGATGTGGAACTGACCTTATTAAGGCACGCCTGGATCTCCTATCTCGTTGACGCGCCCCCGCACGCCGACAAGATCATGCAGTCCGGTTTACGTCCCTGGGAGCTCGCTGAGCCCCGCCCCAACCCGACTCAGAGCCGCGCTGCATTCAAGACTTATTCCACGTACGTGAAATTTTCCTATGTGCGATATTGCGGTCATTCCCGTGTATCGACTAACGTCACTCTAGCACCCGGCCCAAGATCGCCGCCTGGACTCCCGTCGCTGCTCCGCGGTAGATTTACTTGTAATAGCAGAATCAATCCACTTGTCTTGCCGTTCAACTGATCTTGTTTTCCCTTTTAACCCATTGACAACTCATTGTCGTTTGCGGAGATGTATATAAAGACGTTTTTTTGCCAGTAGTTACGGCGACCAAGTATGCTACCTTTGACTTCATTATTATGGTTCATATTGCCAGGCGGAATTCTAGTCACCCTCTTAACCTTACTTCCTTGGAATGTGACTTCTACAGTGACTAGACATCTCAAATAGTGGGGTTATGAATTGGTAACCTGGCATGTCAACCATAAGGGTTGACATAGTGCTCTTTTTGGTAGAACGTTGATTTATAACGTCCTGCCCAATTGATCTAGCTATTGCGGTACGTGCCAGGTTTTTACCCTTTACAATTAGTAGGACTATACGTGACATATAACAAGGGTCTAGGATATCCAAAATGAAGTAGATACAGGAAGATACAGGATTTTGTCACCTTTATTATAGGACATAGACACCGGAGCCGATATTGGACCAGTGCCGAATTGGCCTTCGATCCTCCAGTTCAATGCACCACCAAAGCACTTCTTTCAGCTTTTCGACCTGCTCACCAGCCTCGTACACTCTCGACAACGCATACCATGCCTCAGAGTTGTCCCAGGAGCTTCCGAGCTTTGTCAACGCAGAAAGAAGCCCATAGGCGCGATCGCGGGCCGCGAGACGGTGCAGTTGCTTAGGCTCGACATCTTGTGCGGATAGAGAAACTTCTTCGTGACCCGCATTATCGGTCTCGCTTGATACCTTGAGATCGTCGGTCGAGATGGCCTGCGCAGACTTGGGGCTGGGGGTCTCCGCCAGCAATGACAGACGTGCGACGTTAAGATCCACGTCGGCATTCGCTGGCTCTGGGGCCAATTTCTGGTCCCAAATGTCCAAGAGAAGATTGGCAAGTCCAATAGTCGCCGTTGGGTGGTCCTGGTAGCGCAGCAGCGCTTCCTCAAAGTGCCTAATGGCTTCATGGGGCCTCGATCGAGCTTGGGACAAAAGACCTTGCTCCGCGTAAACATCAGCCCAAAGCTCCTCAGAGCTCTTGGAAGCACCCCAGCCGCGCTTGCTAAAAGATCGAGCAGAGGATTCTTCTGATGCAACGAGTGCTTCCACTCGCGCGGCTTGTTTCGAAGCTTCTTGACACGCTTCGCGGGCATCTTCGAACAGGGAAGCTCGGCGATAAAGACCCGCGATAACAAGCCAGATTTTGACGAGAAGACCTAAGGCGTGCTTCTGGGATTGAACTAGAGGATACTTCATAACGGCGCTTGTGGGAGAATCGAAACGGTAACCGATTGGGAGCCGGACATCCTGCTTAGGGGGTTGTTCCTCATGGCCGATAGGGAGAGGCTCTTGTTTATAGTTCATGTTGTGTGCCATCGCCGGCAATGGCTGTTTGCCTTTGTTAGGACGGATCGCGGACTCTGTTGATGTGTTGCCAGAAAATGCAATGCCGACCATGTCTGCGGATGTTTCACCCTCATTAGGAAGCGGAGGCTCTTCAACGCGCGGTCTCTCGTTTTTATGAAAGCTTAAAGTTCGCTTTTTCAGTTTCTTAGAGTCTGCCCTCCCGACCGTTGGCTGACGACTGTGAGGATCTTCGTCCGTGACTTGGATTGACGGGGCATCCGTCATATGACCGTTGGGAATAGCTGGGGTGGGTGGAATGGCGGAATCAGAACCACTACTCTGATCAGCACGGCGATCTGGCAACTGGCTCGTTCTATTTCGGCCGAAAATGCTTCCACGGAAGCTCTTGATAGTTCCGGCAGAGCTCTTTGGTGGTACTAAGTGGTCTGCCTTGGATTTGTTCTCCCCAGCCTCGAGGTCCAGGTCCTGGAAAAGAGTGCCAAAAAGACTCAATAATTGTGTGCTGTGATTGACAGCAGCTTCGGGTCCTTCCAGGAGCTCGATAAATGCAAGCTGGGTAATGCGAGTTTGGACGATGCGTTCTTTTTCTCTACCTTGCAATCTGCTGACAATGGGGCGCTGGTTGGGGTTCCTTGATGAACGCCGTTCGCGACCCTTCGAGAACAACTCTTTGGGAAACTGCTCGAATGCAGCCTCACATGAACGCCCAGCAATCTCGAACTCTTGTTTTGCACTCAGCAGCAGGGCAAGCAGATGCCACAACGATAC